GTCAGGTCAAAGCCCCTCGGGTCACATAGCTCCATGAAGGATGTCATGCTGCATATCAATCGATTTGGCAGTTCTTTCTGAGTCAATTGAAGGTTTAACCGACTCGCTAGCTCAATTTGATCGGAAGTTATTAGCGAAAAGCTCCTACCGCACCTTACAACCTTAGTGGCGTCTTATATGACGTCATGCAAGGTCAGAAACTATGCCTCAGAATTTAAGCCTCAGCGCTGCAAGAATAATTATGAATCACGATTCCATGTGCTTGAGATATGAATGGTGCATTTTTCACATGTAAAACATGCCTGCAGTCATGTCTGCACCGTATGATAACAATTGCTCGAAAGATATAAGAAATGATGACTTGTTCATGAACGTTCATGAACGTTCACGAACTGTTCGTGAACAGAGAATCGTTGGTGAACATGTGACCTTGAATGCCAAAATTCGTTAACTATCAAATAAACAAACAAACAAACAAACAAACATTGTTCACGAACTGTTCATGAACAAATATACAAACACCAAACCCTGTTAAAATACCACTGCTCGTCTTGCCGCATCGCCTGCGCCGGAAAAATGCCCTAACTGCTGAAAAAAAGCTTCCCTCTATATGTCAGATTCAACTAGCAGGCCCTATTTTGCCATGTCTCGTGGTTCCATCAGAATCAGGTGCATAATGAAATGTTCTGACGCGCCTCGTATGCGTTTGAGGTAGGTATGCCGTTTCAGGAATTTAGGTATCCAGCGCACTCTTTGGTGTCTTCCAAAGTCAACAGCGCCTCAAAGCTCTGCGACCCCTTTCTTTCCAATAGTTATGGATTATGGCATCACGGCTTTACGAAAATTTGAATGTAACTAAATTGCAGGCAAATCCAACATCCTACCTTTATTCTACTTTTCTGTAATTTACTTTTCTAAATATGGCGGTATTCAACAGTATACAGTACTGCATAAGGTCCTAAAGATTATTGCATTGACTTAAATTAATAACGCTGACTGCTGAGGTCACTTTGTTCGATTTTTGAGAGAGCATGAAGATGTTGCTAGGGACTTCATTAAACCTGAATCCAAGGTTCAGCCCGCAGGAAATTTCCCAGCAATGAGCTTTCTGTCAGCGTGTCACTCAACATCTGTTAGGGTGCAGAGAGTCGGTGCAGGCAAACATTCGTAAGGTCGCGCCTAAATGGTAGGTATGGATCAGGATCATGATGGATCAGGTTTCAAAGCTATCCGTGGCAATTAGCTTCGAACAAATAAGAACCAATGTAGCTCAAATAATAGCATGGAATTAGTTTAAATGGAAAGCTGTCAATGGAAAATCTTGACTCCTGTAATCCGCTCCTAAGACGTAACCGTGCCGGTCGACAAGCCAGGTTGTAACAATCCACGCCATGCATATATTGTATAATGTACTAGTTTGTACTCGCGCTCGTACGCATAACATGTCTGCCAGTCGCGGCCATATGAACTCGCCTGATACGTTATCGGGTGCTCGATCATGCGTGGATATCATGTTCGGAAATCTGAGCTGTTCATCAGTCATAAATTCTATCGCAGCTTCCAAACTTTATGGCTGTCATTTCGATAGGCGCGCTATGTACTCAGGTTTGCAATATAAGATATCATCTATCGACCTGTGTTAACAGAAAGTGTGAAGTAAGGCATCCGTAAGGAAGCCCAACGCTATTGAAGCTTTCCTCTCCGAGCCGTTGCCGGGCGGAGCGCACCGCACATCACAAACTTTTCACGGCTTTGCCGCAGCACAATGTCCGCTAGGAGTCTGGTTAGCCCCCAGTTTGCTCGTTCGTAGTAGAGGTGGCAAAATGTGGACCCGAGGACCCGGTCCAAAGAACCAGTCTGGACCCATATGGGTCCAGACTGGTTCCTGGAAATTTTCTGACGGGTCCAACCGGGTCCTACCATAACTATACATCTTGCGCACTACACATTATTGCAAAATATGAAGTGAATGTTTCTTTGCACACAGTAGCTCATGAGTATTCCCAGTGGGAAATAGGCTGTTTTACATGATGCAACTAATGATACCTTATTAGGTGTTGTTTTTATCCGCTGGGACTGAGAGCGTGAGATGATGTTTTTCGTACTCCAGCGTAGATGGGTAGCCATACGGCTTCCACGGTTGACAGTGATGACATCAGTCATCTTTTTGCAAACTCGTTAAAGATTTGGGCTGTACGGGGACTCGAACCCCGGGCCTTTGGATTAGCGCTCCAATGCTCTACCTCTGAGCTATACAGACCAAGTACTTTAGCCCTATTCCTGGCGGGCTCCGCCGGGACAAGAAACTGGCGGGGGGGGGGCCGATTCGGCCCCCCCCTGAGATCTCGAGAACGAAGCAAGATAGCGACAAGCGGTAAACGGCATCGGATACGCACGGCCAAGATCTACAATTTTTACAAAGGTCATTTTCAGGTCAGGTCAAAGATGACGTCACAGGGGTCGAAAAAGTCAAAATGCCGGCACTAGATATTGAGAGAGTTTTTCTCGAATAACTTTCGAATTAGTCAAGATAGGAACAAACTAAGGGCATCATCGTGATCCTCTCGTCAATCCGCATCGAATAATATATATGTTGACCTCGAAAGGTCAAGGTCAAAGGTTGACCTCAGGTCACGTGACCTCGAGGTCATCATGTATATCATTCGATGCGTCTTGACGAGCTGAACACAATGAGACCATCCACGCGTCTGTATCTTGTTCCTGTACGGAGTTATTGGCCAAAAACCTTTGGTGACCTTTGATGACGTCACATGACCTCACAGCTGCCCAACAGCAAAACAGACCTCAAGGTAGTGAAGGTTGATCGTATATGAAGTCATGTATGGTATATGGGGCCATTCCGACCCGTTTTAGTGGTAAAAACAGGGAGTTGATTTTTCCCCCATTGACTTATAATGGGGAGGTCGCGAAATTGACCTGACCTTAGGTCACCGATATCAAAATTCCGAGATATACAAATTGCACATACTGGTACCCTAACTAAACCCTGAAGAGAAGAAATTGATCGGTCAAAAACTCTAGCTCTGGCGTGATTGCAAACTTTTCTGAGGTAGCGTCACCAAACCGCCTCTGGTGACCTGACCTGAGGTCAGATCAACTCAAAATTTTCAGACATGTTGCGTAGAAGCCTTTTAGGAAAAGTCAGAAAATTTGAGCTTCCTAGCTCAACGCGTTTGGGAGATATAACCAAAAAACCTCAGGGGGGGGGGCTCCTGAGGCCCCCCCCCCCGCCAGGAATAGGGTTAACGAGCTTTCTGCCAAGTTTTATGCGGATCATTATTAGGTGTTGTTTTTATCCGCTGGGACTGAGAGCGTGAGATGATGTTTTTCGTACTCCAGCGTAGATGGGTAGCCATACGGCTTCCACGGTTGACAGTGATGACATCAGTCATCTTTTTGCAAACTCGTTAAAGATTTGGGCTGTACGGGGACTCGAACCCCGGGCCTTTGGATTAGCGCTCCAATGCTCTACCTCTGAGCTATACAGACCAAGTACTTTAACGAGCTTTCTGCCAAGTTTTATGCGGATCATTATTAGGTGTTGTTTTTATCCGCTGGGACTGAGAGCGTGAGATGATGTTTTTCGTACTCCAGCGTAGATGGGTAGCCATACGGCTTCCACGGTTGACAGTGATGACATCAGTCATCTTTTTGCAAACTCGTTAAAGATTTGGGCTGTACGGGGACTCGAACCCCGGGCCTTTGGATTAGCGCTCCAATGCTCTACCTCTGAGCTATACAGACCAAGTACTTTAACGAGCTTTCTGCCAAGTTTTATGCGGATCATTATTAGGTGTTGTTCTTATCCGCTGGGACTGAGAGCGTGAGATGATGTTTTTCGTACTCCAGCGTAGATGGGTAGCCATACGGCTTCCACGGTTGACAGTGATGACATCAGTCATCTTTTTGCAAACTCGTTAAAGATTTGGGCTGTACGGGGACTCGAACCCCGGGCCTTTGGATTAGCGCTCCAATGCTCTACCTACAAGCAGTTTGTATTAATTGACTTTTGGGGAACGGGTCCAACTGGTTCCGATTCCAACTAAGACCGGGTCCGACTGGTTCCAGAAATGTCCAGCCGGGTCTGGTTCGAGTCTGGTTCCCAAAATTTTCATCTTTTGCCACCTCTAGTTCGTAGCCTCCCCACGCTATTGACGTCTGAACTTGTCGGTGAGAAGTTTTATGATCTAACGAGTCGATGGGAACGGAATTCACACCGGTAGTAACAGGGAGTGTCAGACTCGGAAAACAAAGCGTGGGTCACGAAAACCGCGTTGGAGCAAGGAAGTAAACGGTGTATCACCGCGTTGTAGTCAGGTCCTGTTAGAGGCTGGCCCACTACGGCCCACTACATCAACTGTCACGACTCGTGATGATCATTGATCATTGCAAGCGGCGTCTTTCCAATGACACCAACTGTATACGGGCTAACTATCGATGACACCAAAATGATACGGTAGTTTGCTGTAAACAAACTGTAAACGCCGAAAAAGATGTGCTTTTGTTGAGCAACTGTAGTCACAGCGACCGGGCGGCAATTCCTTGTGCCATTCTTGGCGTCGAGCTTCGCAGAAAAACACGGCGAGGTCGAACGGTGTTTACCTCCGTTTAGGATATTCCGGACTCCGAAATGTGCTTTCTCGTTTACGCGTTCAACGCAGTGAGCCATGGAAGAGCAAAAACGACGAGATTGGATTTTCACCAGGTACGGGATTTTCGGCATTCGATCGGATTTATTTCTGCCACCGGCTGCTGCCGAACGAAAATCATTTATGCATCACCTACTTACCATATTCACTGGGAGCTACTTTACCTTACGAATGTGAGGCTACGCTGGTGACGAGTATATCAAGGGACTCACATTGTGTTTCGACTTGCCAATTACAAAAAAAAGATAATTATACGGTGGCCAGGCGTGTGTCAACAGTGGCAGCTATGCAAAAAAGCTATGAAATCCAGACTGCCACACTGGTACTCACCACCGTAGTCTAGGCCGATTTTGGAGCGCAGGTTGTCTCTCAGGGTGAAGCGCCGATTCTGACCGAGGTCAAACGTGCCGTAAGAGACGTTGTTGGTCTTGAGCAGGCCGATCAGACTTGACATTGCCAAGTAGCAAGTGTGGTGGCCGGCCACAGACTCGTAGGCATCCCGGTCGAACAGCAGCAACACCTTGCGCCAGTTGAACCTGAGGGTTAGCGAACACGGTAAGTGAGGTGTTGGAATGCAGTTAAATGACCGTTTTGGTGAGAAGGAATGTCATGACAGTGAGTGAGATGAGCAGTAACTATTGACGCCGGCAGAAGCTAGAATGGAAGGTGCGTCTGATTTTTAAGTGGGGGAGCTTCACGACATGCCGACTTCTGTTGACCGGTTTCGCCTGCTGTCCCCTCTCGAGACGTTGCTACCGTCCGTGCTGAAGCCGTGTGAGGTGCGCCCGTCGCCGGCTGCGGGTGTGTAACTGCTACCCCGCTGATCTCTTGCCTCCCTCCCCCCCCCCCCCTCCCCGTCGCTAAAGCCCATCGAATGTTTTCTCTCTCTCTCCCATCCCCAAAACCACATCACCGCTAGAATTCCGTGAATGCGTCGTTTCCTCTACTGCTGCTTAGCTCCTGCCAGAGTGTTTTGTTACGTTTATGCTGCGCCAGATCCATCATTTTGAGCTGAAATAAATGAATGAAAAAACTTATTTAGCGATGTTACATTATACCTTCAGCAATGTATCATGGACGGATCTTGCTTGCCTCTTCTTTAGAACGGCATATTAGCAGGTCAATAACGTTGATTGGGAGGATGATATTTTTCTGTCAACATTCCTGTATACGGGACCCAAGATCTGTGCTGGTTGGATGAGGCGTTCTAACAACTCTCATTGCTTAAAGGACTGGAAAACGTAAGATTTGTAAATTAATCTGCGAAGCCCTGTTTCTAATTCAGTCTGCTCGTGGCTGGTCCATGATAAGTTCTTGACGGAGAAGCTAAGTGCGCCAATTAACATTTGTGTTCAAGCTACGTGTGATAAAAATAGTTTCACAGCAGCCGCATGCATTCCTTAACGCCAAATAAAAGTGGAATTACATAAATCTAACCCTTATATTTCGAATAGATCTATGACACGTGAACTTCGAAGGAAACAGTAAAACAAACAATGCTCGATTGATTTGTAGTGTGAAGCTTTTGACAGATGCGTCCGAATTCTGGTGGAAGTTTGAAAACATTGGTCACTCGCTGAGATTAAAAGCAAACTTGTCTGAATGAGGGTACTGTTTAAGCGATGAATAATTGCCGTTCGACTGTTCAGGAATGGCACCATCGACCCGTGTGTGCAAACTATATTTGTGCTTGTTTACCTGGCTTGTTTACCTGGCTTCTGGGTGCGCCCACCCAGAAGCGTACCCAAAAGCTGGTGATTAAAAACAAATACACGTAAAGCACGGCGCCTCCTGCAACGAAAAACAAGTCTAGAACTTCTTAATGAGCTCCGGTAAATTTCCTTTGGTATAAGGCGAGACAGCTTTGGCGCAGTATTTGGTCACCTGAGAGCTTCAATTTAATTTTGGTAGAAGCTCAACGTAAAAAGCAGACATGCATGCAATCATTGCCTACTATGAGATTTGTTAATTAAATCACCGATTATAAATTTCCTTGCAATTTGAGAATACCCTCACTGGATATGTTTTCGTAAATTGGATAAAAAATGAGCGTAAATTTTCAGGCTAAAAATAATCTTGCAGAGAGTGTTTTGAAAATTTACAAACATTTTCGTATCGGTCTTAGATAAATTCCGAATCCCGATAATTCAAGCTCTGATTAAAACCCTATTATAGGAGTGAGTGGTAATAAACACCACTGCACTGGTGGCTACTGAAACGATAAAAAAACAGCCGTGGCAAGTGGAAATCCCCTTTCCACCTCTCCCACCTCCCCCCGCCCGACGACTCCCATAACACGAAACACCCCGACACAAAAAATCGCCCCCGTGGCATCCGGCGTGGTGGAGTCATCGCCTGTTTCTTGTCCGTGTCAGTCTCGTGCTATTGTTCGCGTGGGGAACAGCGGCTCGGTGGGCGCCAAACAGCGATCTCCTCACAGAGAGCCGACTGGCCCCCCGCCGGGCCGCGGCGTATACTGACAAGGAAGATCGTCCCGGGGGGCCGGCGTCCAACACGCAGGCTCAGGGAGGGGTGCGGTCACTCAGTAGGGCAGTGGTGATCGGCTATCATATACTGGGGAGCTTGTCTGTTTTCGTACTGAGCGAACAGCTCTGTCAAGTGAGCTACGGCATGTTGAAGGCGATGTGAGCAGGCACGGGCAAATATCGCTCGCCCTCATGACCATTTAAAAAGGCACAAGTAAAGCTAATCAATTTAATTTACTCCTTTGTTTTACACATGAGGCAAAGAAGTAGCTTTTATTGCTAATTTGAAATTTTTAATGTCAAATAAATGGTATTCAAATACATATAACTGGTGATCTTTTTACTCAAAATACTTATTGACCTTTTTGCTGACCTTTTTGTTACTCCTTGAGTGATATTGATATTTTCTGAACCAGTAGGTATTCAGAGATATGAGGAACGTACAACAAGCTGATATAGGTATTGACCGATTTCGAGCAAAACGCGCAATTTGAAAAAGCTTTCGCACGCAGTATGATCAACGTATGTCGAATCACATCGAAACCAAAGCTTGACCAATTGATCGCAGAATGCTGAGCTTCCGAACGCACCCTTCCTAACGCAACATCTGCCCATATGTCACTGAGAAACATGGCTAGCTGAGCCCTATGTACAATGTAGGTCCTGTTATTGCGCATGAGTCCATGATTTCTGCCACATTTCATTATCATCTGCACCTGAGATCTACATTTGAATCTAACAACGGACCAGGATATCAGAAACTTGCATCCAATTGCCAAAAATTTGTCACAGTGCTCATCTTCTGAGCGTATCGAAATGAAAATAGCCTTGAATTAGTTGTTTAACATCAACATTACAGACAACGCATCATTATGAACATTCAGGAAATTTAAGCTTATGCATATGGTAATTTCGTGAAACATATACGCAGGTGGGAATAACGGCGTGCTAGACGATATCAAACCTGCCGCTTTATTCCATGAAAAACATAGATCATTTTTATATCCACTTATTGCTGCACAAACAACGCGTGAGTAAACGCCAACACTATTGAAATTTGTTGACACCTGTTCCAGTGAATCTCCGTCATACACAGAACAAACATTGGGTAATGCGTTATGTAAGGGCCGTCGTGCATAGATAATTGCTACATACTGACGTAACCCTCACTTGGCATTCCCAATGTGGCCATTATAATGCGACGAGTGTCGAGTGCTAAAGAAACAACGCAGTGTACCCGTCCACCACAAAAGAAGTGGACAGGTAAATATCTCTTGTACATTATACATACGCGACGCGTATGTACATACGCGACGCGCGTATATACATACGCGACGCGACGCGACATTATACATACGCGAGAAACGCGGGTCGGGTCAAACAACATGCGGCCCCCCGGTCGCGAACCCACTGCCGTCGAGTTAGGAGACGGACGCCTTATCCACCAGGCCAATTGCAAGACATTTCACTTTCAATGCAATTCATTTAAATGCAAACTAGGAATATTAAATATGCACCGACCACATGACCGTATAAGTCAGTTAAAACCTAGCTGTTACCGACCGGAGCGGCGGTTTCAGACATCTAGATCGACCGTCACGTAGGCTATCCCATTTCACCAATTGCTGAAATTGCTTCCTGAGCCGTGGCGCTGAAAGGCTATTTGGATCGGACCGACAACTTGACATGGTGTGAAGGGCGAATCTCCAACGCGGAAACCATTAACTGGGTCGACAGCGCTCTGTCGTTTTCCACTGGTTGAGATTGCCTGACAGCTGAAGTGTTGTTGCGACAGTTCATAATGCGGGAAGGTTCAGAGTGGTGACCGGAGTGGCAGTGCAATGACAGCAGCTCCCATATCACAGACAGTTCAGCAAGGGGGGTGAATGTCAGCGACGGCAGTCCCCAGTGCGTGCAGTTGGGTGGTGGTTGAGTGACGTTTAATTGATGCCAGTTCCGGTCCACCCCAGGGAGTGCAGCAGCCATGAATGACAAATCCGTGATGACGGTTTCTTCCCAGACAATTAAATTCGCTTTTATCAGTTTACAATTAAAACTGCTAGTCCTGTGTTATCCTGTGGTCCTGTGCTGTCCATGCAAAGAGGATCTTGCTGTATTTTAATCACTTTGATACTGCATAAGTGCACCGACCAACAAAACTCAATTATTGTGAGGTCAACGCGTTCACAAGTCGTTATATAATCAGCTCACCTATAAAGAAATGCCATTACTTTGCTGTACTCACGTGTGACAAGGAAATTAATCAAACGTTTGTGAATCGCCAGAGGTAAAATAATGCTGAAGCAGACAAAAACAGGGTCATTGACAAGCGTATCAGGGGACAAACCCGACAATAAAATCGCCAAATGGAGACGCAGCTTTCGGCGGAATATTTCGTTTTGCCAGCGTACGTTTATGTATGACCTATGAGAAAATTTATCGAAGCATTAATGTAAAAAAAGTCAATGTACTTTTCAGAACATTGGTATGCGACAGGAAAGGTGTTATATTCATTATGTAAGTGCAGAAAGACCAAGGAAAAGGTTGAAAGCAACCTTAATTCAAACGCAGTCCAACCTATAAATGATATCGAAGTACTCACTTGTTGAGAACTTCTGAGATGGTTGTCGCAATGCCAGCGAAGCTGAAGCCAGTCCTCGTCGTCATATAGAACTCATTTTCTGGATTCGTCTTGGGCTTTGTGAAGTCGTATGAGAATCCTCCGGCCGTTATGAGAGGCACGTTCCAGAATTTCACCAAGCGAGCGACGGGCGCTGAAAAACAATAGACGTTCTGCTTTAGTCCGACCCGTTTCATTTAGATACTTCACAATGCATGGGTGGCCCCATATTTAAAGCGATAGATAAAGACGACATTCAGCGCGGGCCTATTCCAGTATGCTAAGACCGTTCTACGAAAGACGCAGACGCTCGATTAGTTCGCATTGGGTCGTTCGAGACGGAAGATTGCTCTGTGGATCTTTGGGTTAGTGTAACAGATACGACCGTTTCCACGACGCTGACGGCAATAAACTTCACTGAGCCGGTGTAAAGTTCAGGTGAGTCCCATGAACCGGACGGCCAAAATCAATACGCTGCAGAGCTTATGCGCATTGGCATTACAAAGAGTCCCAATCGCTACTACCCCATACCCTTCCGCTGCCCGTACCCAGACACCAGCGTTCGGAAACGATATTCCGCACTCAGACCCGCCTTTCAGGGCCTGCATCTCATTGATCATCTCACCTAATCCGAAGTCGCAGTAGGGGCCGAGCAGTAGCTCGACCCGGTCCGTGAAGTAGGACTGCACCGCGTGCGCCGGTGCGTAGATGCTCGAGCAGCGGGTGTCACGCACGTGCAGCGTGAACGTCCTACCGAGCAGCAGTCGTCGCTGCCGCAGCTGACGGAGCGCCATCACTACTGCGGGCAGCACGCGCTGCAGGCTGCCCTCGTAGGCATCACTGGCCGGCAGGAGGACAGCCAGCTCCAGGGAGCCGCCGCCGCCTCGGGCCGTCGAGCAGACGTCCTGACGCGCCTCCTCATCGGCTAGGGTGTGACACTGGATGGTGACCAGCGGCCGGCCGAAGTCGTCGGTGACCTGTCGGGACCGACACGGCCAGGAGGCGCCCTCAGCGGCAGGCGGGGAGCCGGTGGAGCCGTGCAGTTGGAAGGAGAGTAGCAGCACCATCAGCAGCCGGCGAAGGGACATGGCAGCTGCAGATCTGTGACGGAAAGAGAACACACGGGAATGAGCTACTTTTAATGTTTTGCGCAGTCGTGTTTTTACAAAGTATGTGCAACTTATTGGGCTGCAGCAGTTGATTATCATTTGATAAAAAATGATACGAAGAACATTTTCAAGTTTAAGCATTAGATCTTTCATTATGCTGTTTTATATTCATTTGTTTATCTTACTCTGAATTAAACTACTTCTTTGACAAACTCTACAAACGTTTACCCTATCAGCCCAAGCTTTTAGCAGACAGCTACTGCAATAACTTTCTTTGCAAACTTTGAGCGAACAGTTCTACAAATATTGTTGAAAAACAGCTTTGCGCTAAAGCTTTTAGAGTAAAACTGTTATCTGCGTAGTTTTGTTTTTCTTCCTTTGCATATTACACATCCTACAGGGCAAACTTAGGTTGAGTAATTAGTAATGAGCATCTTGAAGTTCGTAGTTTCTCTTCACTATACACTATACAGTGGGGCATAGACCACTATATATCGGTATATAGTGGTCTATTGGTGTGTGTTAGTGTAGTGTTCACCTACAGAGGCCATGCAAAGTCACCAAGCTAAATGTTAGCATGTTGGTATGTATACCTACCTCACCCTCTTGAGATTATAGCGCTCTCAGTAAATATTCATAACCGAAATTCGATGCACTTCTAGGAATTCCGACTCATATCAGTTTTCTGTGGTAGCGTTTTATAGTGGTACGCTTACTTCAGAAATTCCTAATTACAAGTGCAATGAAGACGCGGAACCCCAACAATCTCTTGGTTTTTCTTGCTTTTACTTCTGATATTCTTAGTTACAAGTGCGATGAAGACGCGGAACCCCAACAGACTCCGGTCAACTAAGCTTATATGAAAAATGAGTACCTATGGCCAATTATCAAGGAAGTAACGTTATGTCCGCCTAATGACAGCCAGCATATGTTAATTGTAGTCATTCCGATGAGATATTTATTTGGTTGTTGAGGACGATTTTCATGCTCATACTCATGCGAAAGCGCTTCGAATGCCATGGTAGGCCTTGTCTCACCAAATCATATATCACCAATCATCACTGGACGATTCCGTGCAGCGAGCAGCTGTGACGACAGGTGCATTTAACAATAATTCAAATTATCGAACAGAGTCTAATTCGGAAAGTTATCCCATGGCTGTTTGACTTCGTATTTTAGTGTCTCATAAAGTTGAAGAGAACTTAGAATGTTCCATTTATTTGCAAACATACACTCTCTATCATCATCATCATCATCATCATATTTATTTGACATCCTTTGAGGACAAAACAAGAACATATCTTCATAACATAACCGTGACACATGAAGATACAAACACAGTACGGCACAACAAAGTCACGTTTGCAAAGCACGGGCAGCTTTTTACATCAGGCGGACTAGGAGAATCAGTTTGGATGTATTGTTACAAGCAGCCTTACTAGCTGCCATGACTCGGCGCTGTTGCTGTCCATCAGCCAGCTGAGCGAGTCCGCAAGGCCACACTCGGGCCTGGGCGTGTGCACCCAGTCTCCGTGTATATGACCGCTGGCAGCCTCCAGTACCCTCATGAAGTTTCCCCCACATAGCGACATTAGATGGCACACAATAGAAGCAGATGTTTCCGCGAATCTCGCATTGGTCGCCAACTGGGCCAGGCTACTCACCAGCACACAACGGAGGCAGTGCTGGCCACGAAAAACGTTTTGAGTAGCGCGAAAAATAGACCGCCGAACGAGAGCTTGTACACTTGGGATGCGAAGTGCCGCCATTAGTGCGGAGTGGTGGGCATGCGCGCTTTTGACCGCCGAGGCTTGCCAGCCTTCGAGGCGAGCAATATCTCCAGAGCTTAAAAAACAGACCTCACATCCATAAATCAGAACAGGAGCGACAATCATCCGCCATAGAAATGCCTTATCAACAGCGGAGAGGTGCTGATTAAACATGCCGGCCGGCGTTAGGCCAAAGAACGCACCCCTGCTCCGCTGAATTCGGGCAGTCACCTGATCGGCACCGTGTAGCTGGGAGCGCAGCTCAACACCCAAGTGTGTGGTTTCCTGTCGGTGCTTCAGGATCTGTCCACATAGCTGCCACTGAGGCGTCCGAGAGAGGAACTCGGCCCCGAATATAAAGCTGTGACTCTTGGTCAAGCTTTGGTTCACATGTACAAAATCTATCCTCCACAACACTGAGAAGGAGGAGACGACATGAAGCATTGATTGAAGATCGCGTGCGCTACTAGACATAATCAGAATATCATCAGCATATGCAACTGCTGGGATGTGGTAGCCATACAGCGTGGCGCCCAAGCGACAGTCATCGAGCTGTTGGATGAGCGGGTATAAAAACATATTGGTGAGGCACGGCGATAAAAGCGCACCCTGTCTCACTCCTCGGCGCACACAGAAGGCGTCTGACAGCTTCCCACCAAAACGTACTCGGGCTGACAGGTGAGAGTACCAATAGGCCAGAAGCGCCCAGCTCCGGCGTGGGAGGTGCTCACTCGCTCGGAAGAGGACGCCATCATGCCACAAACGATCAAAACATTTCCTAGCATCGAGGTTAGCTGCAAACAGCGGGAGTTTATAGCATAGGTAATGTTGCGCGGTCTCGTGTACAAGCATAGACGCTTCGCTGGTGCCCCTATGCCCTAAGAACCCAAACTGAAGTTCAGAGGCCTCAAATGACGTGTCGATCTCTTCCTGAAGGATCAGTTCCAGAAGTTTGGAGATAGTCGACACGAGAGAGATGGGGCGGTAGCTATCGGCAGAGTCGGGGTCCAGTCCGGTCTTCTTCATGATAGGTACCACTGTGCTGCATGTGAAACTGACAGGGACACGCATTTCAGCGAGGCAGGCAGAGAGTAGAGAGGCGATAGCCTCGTGCAGTGGTCCTGAAGAGCCGTAGACAAGATGCTCAGCGGTGACGCCGTCCGGTCCTGGTGATGCGTTGCGGTTGATTTGCGGGATCAAGCGAGCTACATCTCCTGCAGTGACGCGCTTAGCGGGGCCAGGATCTTCTTTCGCCTGGGACAGCAGGGCTTCTACTCGGGTGCGCACGTCATCTTGGGCTGCAGAGAGGGTGTCCTCGTCCGTATGAATGGGGCGGAAGTGGGCCTCGAGGCTGTCCGCCGTGAGCGAGGAGCGCAAGCCGCCCGAGCCACGTCGAGCCTGCTCTACACGGCGCCAGAACGAATTGATGTCCTTCTTCTGAGCAGCGATGACAGGAGATTTGCGCTGTTATCAACCTGGGCACGTGCCGCATCGACCCGGGCCTGCCTGTATGAACGACGCGCAACTTTGAAGCAGTTGTGCAGGACCGTATTCCGTGGTCGACCGGCGTGAGTCCAAATGCGATGCCACAGGCGCGCCCGGTCCCGTGCTGCCGACACTGAAAGGCTCCACCAGGACTTTGGCGGTCTTCGGGGTCGGGAGCAGCCGGCCTCAGCTGCAGCTTGATGGATGGCTGACGTCAGGAGGCAGTCTATCGGATCGGCGCTGAGGTTTGGCTGGACCACTGTCTCCAGCTGCGTGGAGAGCAGTTCACAGTACCTTTGATTCCTGTCGGAATTGTTCCAATCCAGTACCGTGCGGTGAGAACTGGAGTGGTCTCGCGGCGCTGGTCTTTCCCTCTCTTCGCCGTTTATTTGGAGCAGAAGGGTACATGTTATAGGCAGATGGGGGCTGAGGTTGTCATAAGAAGGCGGGATGATAGAACATGACAGAAGCTGTTCATCTGCAAGTTTGCCAGGCACGATGATGTGGTCGATGTGGGACGTGTGACCGCCGCGTTCATACGTGAAATTCACTGGCTGAGAGAAGCGGAACTCAGCGACTGTAAGACTTCTTTCATCCAGAAGTCGCTGGAATGCTTGGCTGAAGGGAGTGAATCCGCGCAGCTTTGCCCACTGGCGAGGACGGGTTGCCGGCGGGAGACACGGGAGAGGACAGTTGAAGTCTCCGACTAGCATGAGCGGCGCGGAAAACCTATGCGTGTCTATGAGGGCTTCAAGACTAGCGCACAGGTCCATATAAAGTTCTAGTTGATCCGGAGTACCAGTGAAGTAGGGCACTAGGGCATGTAGCAGCCAACTATGGTGAGACGCGGTGCTCCGCCACACACCATCTGCACTGCTAAAAGTCTATCGTTCTCACACTGTAGTTGGGAGAATGAGAATCGGCTGTCTCGGCGGCATATCATGGCCGTCCCTCCATGCCGGCGCCCCTCGCCAGCCCCGGGTGGCAGCTCCATTGCAAATGTCTGAAAAATGTCAACGTCACCCACGCCAAAGCTCCCAAGAACGCCACTCGGTAAAGTTTCTTCCGCACTACACATCCAAGTTTCAGATAGGAACAGCACGTTTAGACTCGTGAAGAGATCAGCAATGTAGGCGGCGGCACTCATGAATCCCTCGCAGTTGTAGCCCCCAATACGTAGCTGGCATTGTCCGCAGGAGGTTGGAGTCGCTCGTCCAGTCGCCTCAGAGCCGGCAGCCGAGGCAGCATCGGTTGCCGTAGCTGCAGAACGATGGGGGAGCTGAAGCTGCGCCGACTGACGGGACGGTTGGGCGCTGCCCTGGTTCCGGCTGACGCGGTAGGCTCGGCCACGTCTCAGAGCGAAAGCGTGCCTGTCGATCGCAATCTCCTTGCGACGGCTCGTTCCTTAGGTGCTGGGACTGCGGTGGTTGACAAAGAGCAGCAGGCTGCCGCTGCTGCGGAGCCGCCATTGGAGGCGGTTGCTGGCAGAACTGGGGCGGAGGTGCACCGATGGGAGTGGGAGGGGCCCACCAGGCCGGTGTTCTCTCCGGATACTGGGGCCGGAGCTGTTCTTGGATCGGCTGCTCCCAGTGGCCCGCAGGTCTGGTCAACTGCTGCGGCAGCTGTGGGTACATATGCTGAGAACCCTGTTGTGGCCAATGCCACTGCTGTTCCGGCAGCCAGGGAGGTCTTGATTGCGGGACGCCCGCAACTGTCGATGTATTCTGACGCGGCTGCCATGGCTGTTGTCATACAGGGTCTATGTAAGACCCTGTATTTTATTTTCTACGTATCTACATGTTTAGATGCATTAACCTCTGAACACGAAGGGCTTTAAGAGGTCAATGTTAGCTGATATCTTATGGTGGAATAATCACGTAAACACTGCACACTCATAAGAACGTCTTCAGTAGCTGAAAAACAGTTTGTGGGCATTGTTCTGGCTCACAATGTTTCCCAATTACTGATACAACTTCCTGACAGACAGTTCTTGTAAAACGATAGCACTGTGTCCAGACCACGGTTATGCCGTGTTGTCTCGCAAATAGTGTTCACTAAAGCAGAAGCCATGAACAGTAAACACGATGTCGTGTTGTGGGGACCGAGGAATCTTGCTGGGGACATGATCCTGCCAAGTGCCAACATCGGCTCCTCTTTGTATTGAGATGGCCAAATGAAAATAGGCTGCTTTTCAGCCACTCCGACCTTGTGTCTAATTGTCCATTTTCCTTGCGCAGTTAGCGTCATGACCCGTTAAGGCAACACGCAAATACACGTCGTTAATTGAGGACTGGATGATTCCCTTCCTGTTTGCAACTGCGGAAAACAACGCCATGGCGCTATCGCTGTCATTTTTAGGCGAGCGCGTTCGCATGAGGTGCCTTTCCTGATCAGTTCTCACAGCGAGCGGCGCGCGGACCAGGCCGGTTTTAGGTCAAACAAACACAGTAGCGACACTGGTTGGACCGTACATAAGCGAGACACAGGGCTCCGATGAGTCAGATTGTCCTGTGACCGCCAGAGAGGCTGTTTGTCCACTGTGTTGTGCACTGAACAGTATATACGAGTACCTGCAGAACAGGAGAATTAAAACGAAGAAGTCGTAGCTTCAAACGAAGACACAGAAAAACACAAAGAAGTAAACAACGAGGAAGCAAGATAAAGAAAACGCAAAAAAGATACAAATTGAACAAAAAAGAAGCGAAGAAAAATAAAGCAACAGTTTTACATTAGTGGAGCCCGTCTGCAACACTCCAGCCCCTGATAGCCGCCACCGTCCGTGATGTCTCAGCCGCTGCCCGTGCGGCAGCTGGTGTTGTCCCTGCTGCTGGCGGCCTCCGTGGTCGGCCAGGAGGCGCCGGTGGACCTGTGGAGCTACAGCAGCCCGGCCAGCTGGGGGCGCACGTTCCCGTTCTGCTCTGCCCCGCTGCACCTGCAGTCGCCGATCGCGCTCACCGTGGACCGCGTGGTGCTGACGCCACCGCTGAAGGTGATTGCCGACCCCGGCGCGCACGACTGGGTGGTCGAGGTCGGTAACGATGGTCGCCGGCTCGAGCTGAACGTTACCATGGACCCACGCGCGCGTGGGGCTTCACCTACTTACCCCATTCAACTGGTGATCGATAACGCACCGCTCCGGGGGACCTACAACCTCACGATGCTGCACTTCCACTGGGGTGATCAGTTTGGGTCCCCCGGCTCCGAACACGCGGCCGGCGACAAGTTCTTCGACGCTGAGGCGCACTTCGTCTTCTTCGACGCGTCGTTCCCGAACCTGGAGGCGGCGCAAGAGGTGCCCGGCAAGGTGGCCGTCGTCGCTGTCCTCCTGAATCGCGAGGGCAACTTCAGCGGGCCGACGTTCCCGACGTTCGGCTTGCAGAACAACATGGATCAGCTGGCGACACGCGACAGTCACTTCTCGTTCCGCGCCGACCTGCGCCAGCTGCAGGCGCTGCTGCGCGTCGTGCTCTCCCGCATGTTCACCTACTTCGGCAGCCTGACGACGCCGCCGTGCACTCCGGGCGTGGTGTGGATGGTCTCCAGCGTGGAGACCGACATCAGCGGGAACTTCCTCGATTGTCTGACCACTCAGGTGTACCAGGACCGCTTCAGGCTGCAGCGTCTCGTCAACAACCGCCGCCCGCTGCAGCAGAGGTCCAACCGAGTCGTCTTCAAGCAGATCAGCCTGGGCTCGGATGGTCTGCTAGCCTAGATACTCATCTCATGTGCGATGTGAGAGACCTTTGATAATGGTGCCTGAAAGCCCGCTGGCGGTCAATACCAGTGGATGAGAGATGTGTGTTGTAAATAGGGTTGCTCGAAGAATCCAACTGTGTTCAAGTAATGCGTTAGAAGAAAGCTGGATGCAACGTCAACTTTTTTTAATAAACACTGCTTTCATGTTCAACGATATTTGTTTCATTTTTCGTGTAGCGGGCAGTAGTAAGTTTTATGAGCTGTATTGCATTCAGCTTTATTGAGTTGTTATGATTGTTTTGTGGATCTAAGTAGATTGTACGTAGATATATAGCAAATGCACTTTAACGTGACGTTTGACAACTCTGAAAATAAAGACATTTCATTGTAATGAAGCTAGAAGCATTACACGATGGGAGGCACCGAATATTACCTACGCAATCAGTAATGCCTCTGTTTCACGTTTGTTTACAAACCCATGATCAGCTTCGGGAATAAATAATAGACCAGTAAAACGCCTTTTGGGCGGAGAACGAGCGAGCGTGATAGTGAGCCCTGCACGTGCGGAAGG